GAGTCGCTGACCTGGCGGCTTCCTTTCTCCCTGTCCCTCTCTCTCTCTCTCTCTCTCTATGTTTCTCTCTGATCAAATTAAAATAAATGAATAAATAAAATTAAATAAATAATAATTTAAAAAAGAAAATAGCATTCTAAAACTGTAAAAACTTTTTTTTCAATATAATAAAATTCATAGGGAGATGAATGGATGGTAGGGAGTGGGTAGTAGAAATTAGGTGTGAGGTGAAAAGGGAAGAAACATTTAACAGACCAAAAAAAGTAAAGTTCTCTGTTGAAATATGTGTGTGTATGTGTGTGTGTTGTGTGTGTGTATGGTATACATCATGATGGGTACTTTATGTAAAATGTGAAATTAATTTAAAAAAAACCTATATACTTGTAAAAATTAGAAACAAAACATCTCCAAACCATAAAATCTTTTGTTTCAATATAGTAAAATAAAAAAACTGTTGCTCCACACTAGATTTTTCCTCCCTGAACCTCAGTAGTTTTCTGAGCTGACCTAGGATATAAACACAAATATCTGTGAGCTGTGGCTCTGAGTTGCAAGTCTAAGTAAAAGACTGTGTTACATTGAGCTACCAAAGTGTGGTAGATTAGGCACCGCATCCCATATGGCCAACTCTTTGGCTTGAGTCCTGGCCCTGGCAGTTTGAGAAATAACGCCAGGCACATGTGCATGTGTGCCCAAAATCCTGAAAGAAGGGAGAAATGGAGGGGAGGGGATTGTGGCGGACATGGTGTGACCATCTCCCCCTCTCTGTGTCTCTCTGACAAGTGCACTGCCCTCTAATAGGAAGAAAGAAAAAAAAAGATTTCGTGCCTTTTTGCATTTTAAATTCTTGGTTCTTGTTTCCTAAGATCTTTCTAGGAATTCAGAGATGGTCCTTGCACTGAGTATGTCATCTGGCACGCCTCGCAGCAGGACTGTGTGCATTCATAAGGCTTTGGGATGCCTGAAAGAACAGCAGAATCATTACTTTCCAGGTAATTTGTCATTGCTGGTTGCTTTAGAACATGTTGATAGTTCATTCCTATGAAAAAGACTAAAGACTTCCGTATCGCTTTAAAAAATAATCACAACAAATAAATAGATAAATAAACAAGTGTTAAAAAAAGAAAGAAAGAATTGCTTTCTCTTTTTGTTGCTAATATATAATATGGTGTTGATGTATGGGAGGGTCCACATGTTGATTGAATCTACTATATATAAAGATAACTACAACCCTCCTTGGGATTTTCTAATTTATTCCAATTCTTTCCCTGACTAGTATTACCAGACAGAGTGGTATATAAGCCGGAGAGCCTCTACAAAGAACTCTTCTTACAACATAAAGGACTCCGAGACTTAATAAATACGGAAATGCGCTCTGTCTCTCAAGGAATATTGATTTTTTCTCAAAGCTGGGCTGTGGACTTAGGCCTGAAGGAGAAGGAGGGAGTCATCTGTGATGCTCTTCTAATTTCCCAGAACAACACCCTGATCCTCTACACCATCTTCAGCAAGTGGGACGTGGGGTGCAAGGGCTACTCTATGATAGTGGCCCATTCCCTGAAGGAGAGCTTGGTGAACATGGGAGGCTACACTGGGAGATTATGTGTCACTCCCTTTTTGAATCCTGATAAAACAGCAAACACTCTTTATGGCCCAGATTTGCAGATTTACCCTGAGTCCTATAATTTTACCATCCAGAACATGGAAGTTCTGTTACAGTCCCTTGTGATAGTCTTGCTCGGGTTCAAATCCTTAAGTGATGAGCTGGGCTCTGAGGTTTTGAACCTACTTACAGATAAGCAGTATGAGTTGCTTTCAAGGAACCTTCACAAGACCAGAAAGCTGTTTGTTCATGGCCTAACTGGATCTGGGAAGACCAGCCTGGCTCTTATGATTATGGAGAAGATCAGGAACGTGTTTCACTGTCAATCAGAGAATATCCTCTACGTCTGTGAAAACCAGCCCCTGAAGAAGTTTGTGAGGTACATGGCCATTTACTTTCTTCTCATGAGCAGCTCTGGCTGGTGTGGTTTGAAGTTTACCTGGTAAGATTCATATTGCAGGGGCCAGGTAGTGGTGCAGCAGTATTGCAACTGGTCCCACATGGAAAAGGTCCTAGGTACAGGTCCTGGGACCTCCCTGAGCACACGAGGCACAGGAGCCTGTCCATGTGATTAAGGATGGCTGAGACTAGGATGGATCATACTGTGAAGACCCTGCTGGGTGCCTCTCTCTCATGAAAGAATAAATAAATTTTTTAAAAATTCATGCTGTAGGGACTAGCATTTGGCGTAATGGCTATGTCGCTGGACTCCCATGTAGTCAACCATGGTTCGAGTCCTGGACTCGGTGGCTTAAACTCACGCTGGGCGCGTGTGTGTGCGTGCCCAAGATCCCGAGAGGTGAAAGGAGGAGAAGGAATTGCAGTGTGGCCATCCCCCCCGGGGGGTGATTTCTCACTTTTTGTCTCTCTTTCTGGAGAGTGCACGTGCCCTATAGCAAAAACCTCTCCAAAAAAAAGAAGAAAAAAAAATTCATGTTGTAGAAGCCAGCAGATGGCATGGTGGCTAAGGGCACTGGACTCCTACATGGCTGACCATGGCTTGAATATCAGGCCTGGCAGCTTGCTTTCTCACTTTCCCTCTTTCTTTCTCTCACTCTGTCCCTCTCTGGTCAAATAAAAATAAATAAATGAAGTTAAAATTTTAAATATTCTTTAAAAAAAAAAAAAAGAAAGGAAATCATGCTGAGCATGTGTGTGTGTATATGTCCAAAAATCCTAGAGGGAGAATGGAGAAGGGATTGTGGTATGGTTATTCCCCTGGGGGTTGATTCTTCACTTTCTCTCTCTCTTTATCTCTCTCTCTCTGTCTCTCTCCAGAGAGCACATACACTCTATGACAAAAACATAAAATTATATATGTATATGTGTGTATATATGTATAATATATGTATATACATATATATAACATATATATTTATATATATGTGTGTGTGTATATGTATACACACACACACACACACATATATATAGAATTTACCATGCCCTGGGGAGTTTAAGAGTAGAATCGGTTTTCTCTGTTTGAGAAAAATAAATGACTATGTTTCTCCCATTTTCAGCAAGAAAACCACCTGCCAGGCAGTGACTCGGAAAACCTTCATGAAATATGACTTTGAAAACATTCAACACATTGTCATCGATGAGGCTCAGAATCTGCGCACAGAAGATGGGGACTGGTACGGGAAAGCAAAAGCCATCACTGAGAGAAATAAGGATCGCCCAGGAGTTCTCTGGGTCTTTCTGGACTACTTCCAGACCAATCACTTGAGCTGCAGCGGCCTCCCCCCTCTCTCAGCCCAGCATCCAAGTGACACACTCACCACAGTGGTCCGCTATGCGCATCCGATAGCCGACTACCTGCAGAAAACGTTGCGGAAGGTCAGAGAAAACCCTCTTCCTAACCTCCCCCCGGGGGCCCTGCTGATGTTCCAGGAGCCTAGATGGGTTCAAGGTGTCCCAGGCAACGTAGAGACGTCCCATCATTCGGACTTGGAGGAGATGATGATCTATGTAGCGGAGAAATGCCGCTCTCTCTGGAGGAATGGTTATTCTCCCAAGGATGTTGCCGTGCTTTTCAGCAAAGCACAAGAAGTGGAAAAATATAAAGAAAACCTCCTAACGGCGATGAGAAGGAGAAGAATGTCTCAGCTCGATGATGAATCGGATCTGTTAGTACAGATCAAGGATGCATCAGATATTCTGACCAATCACATTGTAGTAGATAGTGCCTATCGATTTTCAGGTCTGGAAAGAAACGTCGTGTTTGCAATCAACCCACGGGCAGTTAAACCAGTTGTTTATGAAAACCTTCTGCTCTGTCTGGCTTCCAGAGCAAGGAAACATTTGTATATTCTGAAGTTGCCTGAACAGCAAGAAGATCCTAGTGAACTGTGAAGCTATTTAAATATTAATTTGGGGGTAAAGGGGGACTGTAGGGCACATGGACTCACCAGACAGAGACACAGAGAGAAAATGAGAAATTGCCCCCAGGGGGATGGCCGTGCCACAATTCCTTCTCCTCCAGTCTTCTCTTGGGATTTTGGGCATATACAGATGCATCTGGAATGATTTTCAAGCCTCCGGGTTCAGGACTCAAACCACACAGTTGGCATGGCACCCATGCCACCTACTGGCCCAAATGTCAAATATTGTTTAATGAACACTTATTCATTAAGTCAAATACTCTCTTAGGTACTAGGGATTGAGATGGAGCAGCAAACAAGACAGGTAAGATTTCTCACTTGGGAAAGAGGCAGACTACCAACAACTGAACAAATACAAAACCAAGGAACTGCAGATCATGATAAGGAATCTCAGAATGGTATCTGGAGGGTGCTGAGACTCGGAGATTGTGTGTGCACACACGTGTAGGCAGAGGGTGGTTAGGAAGGTGCTCACTGAGGGAAGAATGAGTCATGAGAAGCTCTCTGGGACCAGCAGTTAGCGTAATGGCTATGTCGCTGGACTCCTATGTAGTTGACTGTGGTTTGAGTCCCTGTCCCGGTGGCTTTAACTCGCACCAGGCACATGTGCCCAGGATTTCGAGAGGCGAATGGAAGGAGAAGGGACTGTGGCATGGCCATCCCCCGTGGGGGGTGATTTCTCGCTTTCTGTCTTGCTGTCTGTCTCTGGCTGGCTGGCGAGCACACGTGCCCTATAGCAAAAACCTCTCAAAAAAAATTTAAAATAAACAAATAAACAAATCATTCTTAAAACAAAACAAAACAAAACAAAAAAACCAGAAAGGTCCTATAATTTCCCAAGAATGAGGAAATTTAAATTTCTCATTGTAAGAAGTATAAACCTGAAGCTAAAATTGGTTTATTTCTGGCAGTTAGTTGTAATTTTAAAAATTGTATTTGTAAAATTTGAAGACATGTTCACAGAAAAGCATATAGTCAGTCTATGGTAAAAAGATTTACAGATAACTTGGGAAATACTGCAAACCACTCACTCTAGAATAATACACATAGAGAGATATTTAAAATAAAATTATTAATATAAGAAATGGTAATTCTGGGCAGCGGTGGCACAGCAGTTAAGGCACTGGACTCCCACATGGCTGATCACAGTTTGAGTTCCTGACCTAGTGACTTGCTTTCTCACTTTCCCTCTCTCTCTCTCTTTCATGAGCATACATGCCCTGTAACAAATTAAATAATAATAATAATGATAATAAATAAAATTAAATAAAAAGGGTGGGTAATTCTAAATAAATACCTAAATAAATCCAGATCATATCCTTCCTTTAGCAATACATAAAAGAATACATGAAATTAGTTAAAAAAAATACAGTCAAGGGGCCAGCAGGTGGCGTGATGTTTGGGGCACTGGATTCCCACATGGCTGACTGCAGTTTGAGTCCTGGACCTGGCAGCTTGCTTTTTCAGTCTCTCTCTCTCTCTCTCTGTCTCTCTCTGGTCAAGTTGAAGAAGAATAATATTAAATAAATAATTCTTTAAAAAATACAGTCAAAAGCTTACCAGCAACAGAGAAACAAAGATGCAAAGAACGAACCTCAACACTACATTACACGCTTCTATTGTATGTGTGCGAAAGTTTTAAAGTAGAATAAGAAAACATTTATAAAGGCTACTATCTCATTTACCCAAAGTAGTAATGAGTAAAGAGGGTACATGAGAAAAAGAAAACTCTCCACAAGTATGTCATGTTATAGAAGACTTTTAGTCCATAAACTCAATAAAACAAGAATTAAAAGACAAAATGACAAAGCAACCAAAAGAGATGAAGAGAGATATTGCTAAATAAACATTACAGAAGAAGAATAAGGTAGAAGCAACGAGACAGTGAAAACCCAGTTCCTGGCATGTAGAAAGACTTGAGATGATTGCTCAATAAATAGAACAGTAAAATAGTCTAAGATACAATATAGAAAAATTTTCCTGAAATAAATTCTCAGATTTAAAGAATTTTGACAATTTAAGTATACAATTTTATTTATTTATTTTTGCCAATGGTGGCATGCATTTGCCAGAGAAAGACAGTGAGAGAGAAAGTGAGAAATCACCCCCCAACGGAGATGGCCACCCCACAATCCCTTTTCCTCTATTCTCCTCCTGGGATTTTGGGCATGCATGTGCACACACACACACCCGGTATAATTTTCAAGCTACCAGGTCCCGGGCTTGAACTGTGGTCAGCCATGTGGGAGTTCAGCAGCTTTATCCACCTGCCACCTGCTGGCCCCTCTATCTTTAAGTATTAATGATCATTTTGACTTTGATTTATTGGAAGCAATATTCAATACAAGAATACAATAGATATGTTGCATTTTTGTTTGTACTTTCATTCAGTTTTTTTTTATTTTTAGAGAGATTTTTAGTATAGGGTCTGTGCACTCAACAGAGAGATAGAGACAGAGAGACAGAAATTGAGAAATCACCTCCTGGGAGGATAGCCACACTGTAATCACTTCTCCATTCTCCTCTCGGAATCTTAGGCACACATGCACATATGCCCAGCATGATTTTCAAGCTGCCAGGACTGTGACTTGAACCGTGCTTGGCCATGTGGGAGTCCAACAATGTAACCATTATACCATCTGCTGGTCTCAAACAGTCCACCAGGAGTGGGGTTTGAACCTCTGCAGACATATGTCCATTGGATCTTAAGTCCAATGTATTAACCACTCGGCCATCCTGGTGCAGGCTCAGTTACTATTTTTTTAAATAATTATTTTTAAAAATTTATTTCATTTATTCATTCATTTATTTTAATATGACCAGAGAGAGACATACAGAGAGAGGGAAAGTGAGAAAGCAAGACTCCAGGCCTGGGACTTGAACTGTGGTCAGCCACGTGGGAGTGTCCAGCGGCTTAACCACCATGCCACCTGCTGGTCCCCAGCTCAGTTACGTTTTTAAGCATTCTGACAATCCCTATCTTTTAAGTGAAATGTTTAAAATATTTTATTTTTTGACTTTTCATTTTGAAATACTAAAAAAGTCACAGAAAGTTGCAAAGGTAGTATAAAATAATACAGAAGGGTTCCCTGTATCCTTTGATTTCTAAACCATTGACTTTGAATGAGAGTATTGTTATGTCTGGGTGCTAATCTACTCTATTGCTATTTTTCTTCCTGTTTGTACCTTTTTTTTGGCTACCTGTTTTCCTTTTTCTGTATCCATTTGGATTAATTATGCATTTCATGATGATTCTATTTTATCTCCTTTTGTATTAGTTATTACTCTTTGTTTTGTTGTTTTAGTAGTTGTTATAGGGTGTACACTATGTATCTTTAATTTGTCAGTTTAATTTCAAGTGATATTATATCATTTCATATCTATATCTGATAGTATACTTCCATTTCTCTTTCCCAAGCATTTGTGCCATTGGTGAGATATAGTTTATTTCTATAAACATTATAAATGCCAATGTATATTGATAGTATATTTGTTTAAACAGTTACTTTTAAAGAGGCTTAAATAATCTTCAATATAGATAGCTTTTTTTTTTTTTAGGTATTTTAAGGTTTTAGGCACCTTAACCATCATGCCTGATACTGACCCTTAAGTAATTTTTTATTAAAAATGTTTGAAAAATTATTAATTTAATTTAAATTTTTTGTATTTTATTCATTAATTTTTAAAAATTATTCTTTTAATTTTATTTTTTTCAATTTGACCGGAGAGAGAGAGAAATTAAGTCACCAGATCTGGGATGTGAACCATGGTTGGCTATGTGGGAGTCCAGCACCCTAACCACCACACCTCCTGGCAAGCCCCCAAATAATATTTTTAAAAGCCTTTATACATACCAATGCAGTTACCTTTTCTGGTGCTTTTTATTTCTTGTGTAAACTCAGATTTCCATCTTGTATCATTTTTCTCCTACTTAAAGGAATTTCTGTTACATTTCTTGTCATGTAGGTCTGCTAATAATAAATTCATTAGTATTTTTACATATATATATTTAAAAGCCTTTACATATATTACATATACATTTTAATAGCCTTTTTATATATTATATTTATATATATATATTTTTTTTTTTAAACATCTCTGTCTTTGAAAGATAGCTTTGCTGGGTAAATAGCGGGAGATTGACAATTTTTTCTTTCAGTCATTTAAAGTCAATAAAGTCATTTCAATTGCTCTACTGTCTTACGGTTCACATTATTTCCAATGATAAATCTGCTGTCATTCCTTTGTTCTTCTCTACATAATGTCATTTTTCATCTGCTTTTTTTTTTTTTTTTTTTTTTTTATACAGAGGCTGGTTGTGTGGCTTTTTTTTTAGAGTGTGTGTGCGTGTCAGACAGAGAGAGACAGAGAGACAGAAAGCAAGAAATCACCCCCCAGGGGGATGGCCACGCCGCAATCCTTTCTCCTCCATTCTCCTCTTGGGATCTTGGGCACGCACACACACGTGCCCGGCGTGAGTTTTAAGCCACCAGGTCTGGGACATGAACCGCGGTCTACATGGGAGTCCAGCGACATAGCCATTACAGTAACTGCTGGTCCCTTCTTTGTCTGCTTTTAATATTTCCTTTTTATTATTGCTTTAAGGAATTTGATTATAATTATTTTTGTTAATTTTTTAAAATTCTTGTGCTTTATGTTTGTTGAGAGCTCCTTGGATCTGTGAGGTAATAATTTTTACTGAATTTGGAAAGTTTTGGGCCATTTTTTTTCCAACAGATTGTTTACACCCTTTTTTTTCTCAGATACTCCAATTATCTGTATACTGGGTTAAATGGCTTTTGTTCCACAGCTCATGCTACATAGTGCTTTACATTTTGTTTCTCTGTCTTTTACTTCAGGTTGTTTCTATTGCTATGCCTTAAATTTCACTGATCGTTTCCTCTGTTTAATATGCCACTGAAACCACTCAGTGTATTTTTCATTTTGGACATTGTTTTATCTTCTAGATCATACTCCAGAAGTTTTATTTGGATCCTTTAAAATATTTTCCGAATTTTTATTTAACATATTCAAATCTTCTAGCTTTTGAACATATGAAATAAAGTTACCGTATCTATTTTAATGTTTTAGTCTATTAAT